GTTTCTCCTGGATCTTCAGGACACAGTCCAGGTCCAGAGGACCTGACTAAACTTCATTAGATGTTTCTCCTGGATTATTCATCAGATCAGGGCACACAATGTTGAGCAGTTCTTGGCATCTGTGAAAAATTCCAGCTGACATTTTTATCACGTCTCTTGACGTTTTGTCTCAGTTTAGAAATTATCCAGAGGTTTTATTTTTACCCTTCCAATGCACAGCTCTAAAAATGTTCTGGTGGTTTATTATGGGATGTCTGGACCATCCTGACTTTTCCATATAGTGGCGAGAGCAAGACTGTATTGCTAATATCTAATCTAAATGTTAGCTGCTTTTTGTCGTGTCTGCGTCTCAGAAACCTCTAGTTCAGTTTTTCCTGGTGCATCCAACTTGTTTTTTCCTTCGCTCCTTCAATTGAGTTTCTTTAGTTTTTATTCATTTTTTCTTTACGGCTGTGACCAAATGGTAACCATGTGACTGATCTGACGGTTTTCTTGCATGACTTGTTACTTGTTCTAGTTTTCTGCGTCTTCGCTTTCGTCCTGCAGCTGGACAGATGTTATCTTAGGGACAGGACAGCTGTTGTAGTTTAATCCCAGTGAGGGGTCACTGGTCTCACTGGTCTGTGAGGCACGGTTCATCACTGGCTGCAGTCTTGATTTCAACAGTATTACAGAGTAAAAACCACAACTGTGCACATGTCAAAGCCCTGGGAGGCTCCTAAATGTTATGACGTTAATCGTCTTGTTCAGTACACAAACCTAGTAGAAGACGAGCGTAGAGACTAGTTACAGCTTGACGAGAAGGTTTTCCATTAAATGTGTTATTTCTGAGCAGGTCGTTGAGCCAAGGCCCAGTCGGACCGGTTCCCTGCTTACTGGTTGATGGGAGCGCTTTTTTACAATCAAAGCTTTAGTTTTGCGTTACTCAGTGATTGGCTTAAATATGTTAATTTAAAAGGGAGAGTGATGGTGCAGAGGCTAGAGAAGTCGAGCTTGTGATCAGAAGGTCGCTGACTCAATCCCCTGGACCCACAACATCAAAGTGTTGGAGGGAAAATCTGAACTGGCCCTTTAATTTTAAAAAGGTTTAACAAAGAGTGGAAAATTATTTCAAAAGGTAAATGAGGATCAAGGGTAAATTTATTTATCAGGTAGATTTTTAGGATGAGATTGTTTTTGGTTGTATTAACGATCATTGTGCTTTATAATAATTAATACAAAAATGAACCATGTTGACCTGACGTACTTCAAGTTAACTTTATAAAAGGTGTACAAAAGTAATGCACATCTTTTAAAATCCATTTCTCAATTACTATTCAAGATGAGCACTTGATCAAGCCATGGACCTTTTGAAGTTAAACTAATAAATGTTAAGAGATTATTTCAAAAAAGCTGAAAAGGACTTTCAAAAACAAAGATGGAAGCAAGCCGCTAGTTAAAGACGAACATGACAAACGGCTAGCTCAAAGTAGCAAAGGGTAGGCTAAAAATACAACAACAAAGAAAGGTGGGGGGGTGGGGGGAGGTTGGATAAGGTCAGCCTGTGATCAGAAGGTCGCCAGTTCAACTCCCCAATCCAACAAAATGTGGGTGGGAAATGTGAAGCCCCCACACCTGCCTTCACCTTCATTTACTCCACTCTGGACCCTTGAGCAAGGTCTTAACCCCCACCATCTGCTCCGCCGGGCGCCCTGATGGCAGCTCTCTGCTCCACACAGAGGCTGTGGTAGCTCTGTGTCTGTGGTTGAGTCAGAAGGACCTCTGGTGTAAAAACAATCACAAAGTCTTCGTTGGAGTTGGTTCACTGTGGAGACCCTGAAGAAGAGCAGCCGAAAAAAAGAAGGTAAAATGACGACAATGCTGGTTCAAGCTAAAAGTATCCATTGGCTAGGTTCAAGCTAAAAGTATCCAAAGGCTAGGGTCGAGCTAAAAGTATCCAAAGGCTAGGTTCAAGCTAAAAGTATCCAAAGGCTAGGGTCGAGCTAAAAGTGTCCAAAGACTAGGGTCAATCTAAAAGTAGCCAAAGGCTAAGTTCAAGCTAAAAGTATCCAAAGGCTAGGTTCAAGCTAAAAATATCCAATGGCTAGGTTCAAGCTAAAAGTATCCAAAGGCTAGGGTCAAGCTAAAA